TTTTCTTTTCTAACATGACTTCATTTGTTAGTTGGCTTCTTACTTTACTTTTAATTATATTCATCAAGAGAACACTTGCAGGCACAAATGTGTTGAGGTCGATCCAAAGATAGCACTCCAAAGTCCACTTTTTCACATCAGTGTAGCAATCTGGAAGATTATTCCATGTGCCTAATCAACTTGCGGAATTTCTTGTTAAGCTGTTCACGTATGTTGTGTTACTTACATTTCTGGACGTTCATCTCTTCCAACTTGCTTTTCAACTCTGAAATTTTGGACTCCACAAATCTTTACTTTTTAAATTGAGCTATTGCATTTCTAGAGATCCAGCATCAATTCCAAATTGATCAGTGTGGATTTCGTTACTATTTGTGTTGAGATGGTGTACTAGGGATGCTAGAATAGTTTTATTGGTTTTTAACTGCTCAAATCTGTCAAGAAATTCATCTTTGATTTTTTATAACTGTGCTAAAGTAATTCATGTCGAAAGTTGCACTGATTTTATCATGATACTACTTTAGACATTGAAAATGAAGTACCTTACCACTCTAAATATCTTCTGCAAAAAGAATTTTTCTTCAACACAAACCAATTCTTCTACCAAAAACATTGACTGGGTTTCCCGTTCCTTGCAGTTTTAGATTCAACTCATTTCATTTCTCTGTTTTATCCACCATAAAGTAAAATTTTTGCCACCATTATTCATTCTGTAATTCAGGGGGATTAATCATTTTGGAATGTATTTATTTCATTCAAGCAAAGCAAAACGTTTCAACCTTTGGAAAGTTATCTCACTTTATTGGGAAGAAGGAGCTTGGAATACTGAGTCTCCATTTCGTTTAACAATTCTTTAAACTGACAACACTAACAATTCTTTAAACTGACGATGGTAGAGTGCAAGATGTTGTTAACAATCTTGATTACCAAATTTATTACCTCAACTATTTTGATTGGAATCGTTTTGTTCACAAAGCACTTTATGGCAAATTACACAGTGAAACATAAGAATTTCATGGTTTATTTTGCTCCGAAGAATCGTTGTTGCTCCTTTACTTTGTCCTGTCATATTTCTGGCTCCATCAGTTGCCATTTAAACAACTTTATTTAAATCAATCTTAATGTATTTTTGGACAGCATGCACTATATCTTCCCTTCTAGTTTGTCCTAGAAATTTTTCTTTTGGACCTTGGGAAACATATAACAAAAACTTGTGCCGTGTCTTAATGTCGCAAGACTCACCTATAGCAAGTGATAAGACAGAAGAAAGTTGAATATCTTCCACCTGCAAATATGTTACATTGGAAGACATTTGAGCTATTCTATCGTGTACTGTTTGAGCGGATAGTGGCAAATCTTTGATTTTTGTTTCAAGATTTCTGGTTTGTTTTTGAAATCACGAAACAGTTCTTCAGATGGAAGCAGTCTTTGACATACTCACCATCTGTAAATGGTTTGCCTTTTTGTGCAATTTCTAGTGGTACTGCAAAGCTTGCCAGATTAGCATTACTTGTGGATTGCTTCTAACTTTGAGAAGATACCGTATTTTTTGCCGTATAAGACGCTCCGGCATATAAGACGCACCCAATTTTAAAGGAGGAAAATCTAGAAAAAAAAGATTCTGAACCAAATACTGTACTAGTTGGTCTGCCTGATCACTTTCTCACATACACCATACACGTTGTCTGTGATCTACCCAGACGGCACATTATGACGTAGGGAGGGCGGTGTGTACCGGCAGTAAGCTCAGCATGATGCCCGTGCAGCACATGGTTAGACTGTCGGCGCGCTATAGGAGGGAGAGGGAAGCCCGAACACACACAGCCTGGCCGTGCAGGGAGGGTCACAGAAGTCACCACAGCCTGGCCGTGCAGGGAGGGTCACAGAAGTCACCACAGCCCGCAGTACGTGCCCCAAATCCAGCCCGCAGCACACACTGCATAAGGAAAGGACTGCGAGTAAGCGCCACACAAAGTTGGGGGCAGTTTTAATGCATGTAAAATGTGTATTTGCCGTATAAGACGCACCAACTTTTCCCCCCCAGTTTTGGAGAAGAAAAAGTGCGTCTTATACGGCGAAAAATACGGTAATCGCTTTTAACTCATTTACTTGAAACAACAAACTATACGTCACAGCAAAGCATGTGGTCAAAAGCAAATTAAACATTACATAGGTGAAGAGCTTCCGACAGAATGACAACAGTGATGACGCGTGAAATGAGGGAGGGGTGTGGCGAAAAGCGAGTACAAGTGGCTGAGAGATTGAATCAGTGCCTAATTTTCGTTAAATGATTCAGAACTATTTTAAAAAATGTTTCGATGAAATAAATAATATTTTTCACTTGAAACTAAAGAGCCGCAGCTTCACATCCAAAGATCCGCATGTGGCTCGCGAGCCCTAGGTTGCCGACCCGGGCTCTAGACAATGCTGAAGCTCAGAAAGAACAAAGAGAAAGAAAAGAGTTGATGGTTGTAGCTGTGCAGTGTAACAATTTTACTAGCATTTTATGCCTGTATTTTATTTTACTTTTAACCCCAAAAAATATTTGCTTCCCAGAGGTTCCAGAACACTTGGCTGACCTTTGGCTAGAATCAGTTGCCATGGGAACAATGCACACTTATGCAGAAGAGATTCTAAAAATACCTCAGCTGACACCTCATGGTTGTAAGCAACTTATAACAGATATAGGTCAGTTTGTTTTTTTAAATACAACAATCCTCACTTGTGCCTCAAAAGTCCCAGGTTTAAACACTGCCTTTTGTCATCCCCTGCTATCCTGCAGTAGATTTAGGCTAGGAAGTAATAAACCTGAAGGATCATCTGAAGCAGTGTAAAATTACTGTTATCAGTTAAGTAGGCATTTTGGCTCAAGAGATTCAGTATACCTGGAGAGTAAAAGTTTAACAGGATTCAACATGGGACTTACAGCATGTAGAACTTTTTTTCTTATATAAAAACAAAAAGGTCATTTTTTTCCCATTTTGTTTCTAGTTAAAATGTTTTACCACTTCTTGTCATAATAAAAAAGAATTTATTATCTGTCACTTATTTCAGTTCACTGACTAATGGTCTAGATAGTCATCTAGATTATATAACTTCTTACTAGCAGAAGTCATATTGTTTTCCTGATTTACTTTGAAACTTAGTTTCTTGTGAAGTAGAACAATACATGGAACTTGTCTACGTATCTTTTTTTGAAACTAGTTAATTTTAGTTTTAGTTTTTCCTATTTTGAAACTGCATCATAGAAAGTTGGGTTTTTTTTTTTCAAGAAATTATTTTACTTCACAATCAATGTATGTGATCTCTCCAGATTACTTATGCAATGTCTTGGAAGATTTGGGCTTGAAAGCTTCTGAGACCTTGACCCACATCCAGACCTTGCTCCAGACGAAGCCAGATCAATTTGTTGATACAGCCGAACTTATGCCACAGAGGATCTCCCACACTGTAGCTAACATGAGGGGCATCCAAGTGTGAACAACACATTTTGTTTATACGTCACATTTTAACACAGTAAAATTATGTTCCATTCATTGGACAATGTTTGGTCAATGACCTGAGTCTTGGTAAACTTTGTTGGCATATGTATTATCTTATATTCCCTAATGTCTTGCTAGTATCTCTAAAAATTCAAGCCAAAAAACTATGTACTCCAGGGTTTAGTCACATTGCCCATAGAGTTTTCTAACTGAAAAGACAAATGCTAGGTAAAATGTCATAAAATGTTCCTTTTTGATTTATAAAGCTCATTTCTTAATCTGGGATTTAGTAACTAGCAAGTTTTTATTCTTAAATTTTAAAAAGATTAAATATCGTCATAAGATGTAACCATGGCATCTTTCAGGCTTAGTAAGACTGCCAGCATATTTCACCTGAGAGTCTCAAAAAAAATAACCCAGTTAAACTTCAATAGAAAATTATATTCTTCCTCATTCTCCTGGTAGCTCCCCCAAAAGAAAATTATATGAAGTGGTCTGTACCTGAACTGAAACTAATATTAGGAACATCTCTGTGTGAGAAGCTATTTTTGTTGCCCTATTGGGAGAATTCACTTTTGTTTTATCTTGTCTGTTACATTTAAATGTTCAAAACTAAAAATCACTTTAAAAAAATAGCCTACACTGTGCTTGAAATGGGTGTAATTGCTACCTTTGTATAAGCATGCATATTGAATGCATCTACATTTCACACCATTTGGAACAAGGTGAAAGGCAGTTTATGTTACTCTGTTCATTTCTGGCTCACAAAAATTCAACTGTTACGTACAAAAATTCATTTTTTCTATGTTGTTGTCATAGTTTTCAAACTATGCATTGGAATCTCCTGAAACAGTCTTGTGTATTTTTTTCACAAGTAACCCTATGAGTTGGTTGTGATATAGTGAATGTATCCAACCATACAAGTAACCCTATGAGTTGGGTGTGATATGGTGAATGTATCCAACCATACAAGTAACCCTATGAGTTGGGTGTGATATAGTGAATGTATCCAACCATACAAGTAACCCTATGAGTTGGGTGTGATATGGTGAATGTATCCAACTATAGGATCTTTGTTTGTTTAGTGTAACACAAACTCCCTTTGTCATCTTGTTCTTTTATTTATTTTTTTTTAATTTTAACTAAACCGTGAACAATTCTAACATAGTAAAACTATGTGCCATTTAGCCAATATTGTCAGGTCATGTGACTTAGGTCACTGTCTGCAGTATTGGCTTTTTTTTTCTTCTTTAGTCTTTACATTTATATTGCTTTGAATGAAGTTTTTGAATTTTGTATATAATAGTTGACTGTCTTATGTAATTGTCTGGATTTTTTCTACATTAACTTTTGAACTAGAGGGAATGACATGGGAATCTTAAGTCCATATGAACTCCTCAGGCTGCAGTGGGAGCTGTGTTGGACTTTGATGTTATTTTAATGGCTCATCAATCATTTACACATCTTCAACCTACCCCAAAATAAAAGTGTACATACATTTAATATATTTGACATACATTTTTTTTATTATTTTTTTTTGAGTTTTGACTGAAAGAAAAAATATGAATTCGATAAATTAACAAATTTCCATTTCATTTCAACTTTTGTCATTTGCATAGCTGCTTCCATTAGAGATGTCTCTATTTACACCAGCAAGTATGTGTGTGACTGTAGATGTGCATGTTGTAAAAATAAGAACTGCTACATTCTGTTTCATGATTATTTGTGTACATAGTTTTCAACAAAGTGGTGACTGAAAGCAGAGCCTTGTATTGGTCATTATGTAGTACTCTGAGGGATTCACCAATGTTAGGCCAATTATTTACATTTTGTTTGTTTTTCTCCTCAATTTCATAGCTGGGTGTTGGTGAAAAGAAAGTTTTGTTCATTCTCAATGAAACTAAATTGAAACATGGCTTGTTTGTATCTGTGTTTTGACTGTTTTTGTAGTCAGGCTATCTGTTTGAGTCCTCTGGAATACAAGACTTGAAGTTGAATGGGAAAGAGTTTTGAGTGTAGCTCAGTTTGTTCAAGATATGATGTTGCATTATGTCAACTATGTTCTGTTCATGAACATGGTTGGGTTCAATGAAATATTCAGACAATAAAAAAAAACCTTGAGGGGACAACCATTTCAAAAAGTCAAAACAGTAAGATTTTACTTTCAGTTCCTTGGCAGATAAAGAGAGATTAAGGAATAAACAGAACCACAAAATATAAAAAAAACATTTTTGAGTAGAGGTAGTGTAGAGAACAAAACGAGAGGAGAATGTGTTGGAATAAATAAAAGGTAACTAAGCCTTTGGTTCACTCGTTACACCAGTAGAATGAGAGTTATCTAACTTGGTGAAATTTGTTGGAAGTGTTAGAACCGAGTCCACTGGCACAGTCTTGATCAAAGAGTTTTACAACTTCATAGCAAGCAGCGTGTCAACTTTCAGCCGCGTTAACTTTTTGATCAGTTAGAGAACCCCAAGTGTCTTATTTCTACATGTATCAAACATTGCTATATATTTGTGAAGAATGTGACTCGTACTTCTAACGCTTGGCAATATGATTGAGGCGGCGATCCTATGTACTGGTGAAAGTGAAAACTAAAATAAATGGCTATCATTCTCATTGTTGACAGTAAATTTTAAACAAGCAAAATGTAAAACTCCTGTGAGAAAAAAAAAGCTTGTAACTATAGCTCTCAAAAATGTAGAAGTTATTTCCCTTTATGATATCAAACAAAATAATAATTTTTTTTAATTGGTTCATTTTTTAGGTACAATAAATAATTGTTTAAAGTTTCAACTTGATTCGAGAATGTGTGTGGGAGAAATAACGTTTTATCAGACAGAGTGTGTTGATAGAAGCTTTGTAATTACGACACGTCAACATGTACACATATCATGCCAACGTGTCAGATTAAACTATCAGTACACAGAAATGTGCAATCACTTCAAGAAATAACACTGTAAGGAATAGTCAGTTCAGCCAAAAAGTAACTTATCAGGTGCATTGTTGCTGGGTTTGTTTGTTTTTTTGTTTGTTTTTTTTAGTAATCATCAAACTAGTTCCATTATCAAACCAACTATATTCGACCAATTTTTTTTTTTACGAGGAAAGCGCAATCAGGGACGTCTCGTTTAACTTGGTGCCACACTTTCACAGAGGATCTCATAGCAGTGGACGCCAGGTGAAAAGAGGCTTCAGATTTTGCGGTTCTCAACCTTTTTGGCTCAGCGACCCCTTTTTACAATTCTTCACTATGCAGCGACACCCAACTGTGACCCAACAGTAGAACTATTTCCGTCATAAGAATAATTAGGTCTACTGTGCTTTCGCAAATTTTATAAAATCGTAATTCTAATGTAAGTGTTTGGTATGTATTGCAAAAGCTTAATGTTTAACCACGAAACAAAATGAATAATATTTTATCATATGTACCGTATTTCGTCAGTGCGAAAGTTTAGTTTGTTTCTGTTTCACCTGATTGGGAATTCTCGAGACTGTCTTTATAATAACTTGTGTATTTAGACTTGATAAATTATAAGCTGGAAAACTATGTTTTGCAAAATTTAGTATTGAAGAAAGCGCAACAAAGACAAATGAGAATGACTACAGATTTGTGTAACCGAAAAGAATCATTCATCAATGCATAGCTATTAGTGAGCTCAATAAACTCTTTCTGTGATGTCTCCAGAACATCTTCAACTTTGACCTATTAATGGGGTTCTGGCGAGGTAAAAAATGTTAGAAGTTGTTAAGCTGACGATCCCATTTCTTATCTGTAAATACTGCCATCGAAGAACGAAATGATGCTCTGACATGTTGAAAGGAATTTGTATGACTATTGGGAGGACAACTATATTGGTCGCCAGAGTGACTCCAAGATTTCCGATAACATTATGTACAGGACAATCTACCAAGAACCAACAATTCAGTGGAGAGTTGGCACCATGCATTTCAACTGTCTATTGACGATCATCACAACAATGTCCACAAGTTAATCTCTCAGCTCCTCGGAGAACAGGAAAACACTGAGAACAAGATTCTGAGGTACAATGCTGGAGAACGAAGTAAAGCTGCAAGCAAGACAAAGTACCTGCAACTTAAGAGACGTCTAGCAGATATATTGCCTATGTACGGAAACAAGCCAGTGAGGGAATTTCTGCGTGACATTTCCAACAATTTAACTTTGTGAAAGTTTGTGTGCGTGTGTGTATAAATCTGACAAGTATCTTTGACAGTACACATTTGGCATGTAAATAAATGATATATTTTGTTGCAGTTGCATTTGGCTTATTATAATTTTGCTTACTGTTTGCATATTTATGTTTTTAGATCTCTAAAGTGTTTCCTGCAAAATGACTGAAAAATAATGATAACATTAAAATAAAAACATTGGCTCTATTCATAGTTTACGATACCTAAAGTATTTCTTTCAAAATGACTGAAATATATTTTTTCTGCGATATTTTGTCGGGATTTGATGTTATCCACACTGATGTTTGATGTTATCCTACTGATGTTTGATTTCATCCACACTGATGTTTGATGTTAACCCACATTGATGTTAATAGGTACGCTGCCGCCACTGAATCAAATAAGATATAATAAAATCAGATAAGAACAGAAGCTTCAATCAATATGTCAACCAAACTTCCTCTTAGATTAACTAGTCTTAGCTCTTGAAGTGCCTACTTAAAATCTTATCTAACAAGAGCACATAACTCTTCGGAAATTCACGGATTTGTTTTTCAATGGCGAGGAAAGTTGTCTAACTTAGTAATATATTTTCTGGGAATCCTGGAAGTCATTGGAGCGTGTGAATGTTTGAAGAGAACCCAGGTCCCTGCCACTTTGCTTTAATTACTACCTGGTAAAGCTCTAACATGCTAAAACATCCATAATACCTTTATGTAACGACTGAGTCAGCCGAATGTAGGTTCTAAACACAAGAAACATTTTCTGTATTCAAGTTGGTGTAAAGTTATGTAAGTATGATTGCTATAATTTGAACTCTCATGTGTCAACTTTGTGTGGACTTTGCATTCTTATATTCATCTGTCTCTTGTAATGTTCGTTTCAAATGATAAACAGAGAAATGTACCACGTATTGATCAGCTGTTAATGAAATCAATGTTTATCAACCTGTGTAACTCAGTCCATTTCTCTGGTGGTCTGCGATTATAAAAAATAAATTTACTATGGACCTTTAATGGAGATGTGCGAGAAAGGCAAATATATAATTGGAGATCGAGAATTGCTGAGATAGCAAAAGGCAACTTCAGATGTACACTTAAGACTCCTAGTTGAGACAGAATAAAATTTGAATAAAGAAAGACTGAAAATATTTGCTCTACAAACCAGAATAATTAAATAATAAAACATTTCGCTTTTTAAGTCATTCTTTAGAAACAAAATGCTAAAAATACAAATAAAAAGTCAATGGTGCAATCCAACAAAGGAAGTACTTTATGTCATTACGTTGTGTCAACTGTTAGTCTTATGTCACTTAAGAATGTCACAGGGATCTCTTACTTCCTCTAGTCTAGCTGTCAGACAGACGTGTGTGTGTGCAGTGTATAATTCAATAGTAGATAAGTCAACTGTGTCCTAGAGTCTAAGTGTACACCTAAATCAGTCAGCTGTGTCTATGTGTACTATGTACACGTACATGGCTGCAATGTGTCACGTTCAACAAATTTGTGTGGGTGGTGGAAAAGTAGAGGTAAATATCTAGAAAAAAAAATCAGTTTCGTTATTGCGTCTTTTCGTGGTCCTCATACAACTTCTTAATAATGATACAAACAATGTCCTGATAACTACGTGGTCCTCATACAACGTCTTAATAATGTTACAAACAATGTCCTGATAACTAGGTGGTCCTCATACAACATCTTAATAATGTTACAATGTTCTGATAACTACGTGGTCCTCATACAACTTCTTAATAATGATACAAGCAATGTCCTGATAACTACGTGGTCCTCATACAACGTCTTAATAATGTTACAAACAATGTCCTGATAACTACGTGGTCCTCATACAACGTCTTAATAATGTTACAAACAATGTCCTGATAACTACGTGGTCCTCATACAACATCTTAATAATGTTACAAACAATGTCCTGATAACTACGTGGTCCTCATACAACGTCTTAATAATGTTACAAGCAATGTCCTGATAGCTACGTCGTAAAAATGTCCTGGTAGTATATTTGTAATAAACTGAAGTATTATTGATATAAAGTTACAGAATTAAATCTATGATGTATGCTGACTTCTATTACAAGTAAATTGCCTAGTAACTATAGTCCCAATAGAAGGTCACGTTGACCTAATTCTCTCAGAAAAATATTCAGACTAAAAGCCTACGAAAAAAAATATGCTAGTTGTTATTATTTAGTATTGTTAATTACTTGGTGTTTTATTCAGGGAAGAGAATGACAGAACATCTTTAGTTGGCACACCACAGATCTCCATTTTTTTTTTAAACGGAATGCAGAAGCTCAACATCCATATTTCTATAGGCTTTAAGAAATGGATTATAGATGTGTTATTGTATAATCATAATAGCAAAGGGAACTTAAGTTTGTGTGTGTGTGTGTGTCTATGTTATATAATTGGTATTTTTATCTTCTTTATAAATTAGAAAGTGAACTGTTGTATTGTTCTGAACCCAGGAAGTTGAGCTGCTGAGAACGTCACAACTGTAGGCCTATCTAGAAACTCATTCAGGACGTCACACCTGTAGGCCTATCTAGAAACTCATTCAGGACGTCACAACTGTAGGCCTATCTAGAAACTCATTCAGGACGTCACAACTGCAGGCCTATCTAGAAACTCATTCAGGACGTCACAACTGTAGGCCTATCTAGAAACTCATTCAGGACGTCACAACTGTAGGCCTATCTAGAAACTCATTCAAGACGTCACAACTGCAGGCCTATCTAGAAACTCATTCAGGACATACTCACTGCTATCTAATGACATGCCTTCCAGAGACTACGCAACATTGAATGAAGAGCTTTTAAAACAAGGCCGACTTTTTGTGGACCCTGACTTTCCACCCGATACCTCATCTCTTTATACTGACGGCACGCCAAAGCGAGGCAATGCGCCCCCTGGTGAGATCGCTTGGAAGAGGCCAAAGGTAATTAATGTTTAGCTCACTTACAACTTTTATCAATACATTAACAATCACTTAATTCAGAAGCTGTTCATTGAAGACTTTCATCCACTAGAACCAGGGAGTGTTGCAGTCTTACTACCTAGTCTATAAATATATGGCTTTCAATGGAGAGGATTGAAGGAACCGAAGTGCTTCTGTGTGTTTCTTTTGAAAGACTTAGCCCGCTACATACGCTTATTAGGAGGGGAGAGACATGACTAGATTATTGTCTAAGTGTGATCTGATCAATTTTGAGGGGAAAAGTATGTGTGTGTGTGTGTAGTGGACTACTTCTCAAACATTTATTAATGTCAAAGAACGGTCACATAA